AGGGCACGATTCGATTCTTCTATAGCCATAGCCTCGGTCCAGTTCCTTCCTCCTCCCTCCTCCCTCCATTCTTCTCCTTCTCCTTCCCTCCTTCCATTCCTCCCTTCTCCATCCTCCCTCCTCCCTCCTCCCTCCTCCCTCTATCCTTCCCGCCTTTTCCCCTCCTTCCTCCCTCCCTGCCTCCCTCCCTCCCTCCATCTTTCCTTAGCCAGCAGTTTATTTTGTCAGGTGCTAGGGACCCAAAGACGGAGGAGTTAGTTCTCTTCCCTGCCCTTACAGATCTTAGCAGTTGCCAAGAAACCAGCGCTGACCCACGATGTGGATCAGGAACCACAGAGGGGAGCTGGCAGGAAGTCTCTCAAAGGAGGGGCTCCTGTGCCTGCTCTGAGCCTGAGGGTCGCCACAGTGGGCAGGATCCTGGCAGGGAGGAAGGGGTGCAGTGGCCATGTGTTTGTCTAGGACTCCCCAGGGAGGCACAGCCAAGGGGAGACAGAGCCGCTCCCCACCCGCACAGCCCTCCTCTCTCCCCATCCTCCCCGAATCTCAGATGCCAGTCCCCAACTCCTGATGACCTGACGCTTGTCTGTGTCTCTGCCCCCTCTCCCTGCCTCCACCTCCCCCTGCCTCCACCTGTCCCTGCCTCCACCTCCCCCTGCCTCCACCTGTCCCTGCCTCCACCTCCCCTGCCTCCACCTCCCTCTGCCTCCACCTGTCCCTGCTCCACCTTCCCCTGCCTCCACCTCTCCCTGCTCCACCTCTCCCTGCCTCCACCTCCCCCTGCCTCCACCTCCCCCTGCTCCACCTCTCACTGCCTCCACCTCCCCTGCCTCCACCTCCCCCTGCCTCCACCTCCCCCTGCCTCCACCTCCCTCTGCCTCCACCTCTCCCTGCCTCCACCTCCCCCTGCCTCCAACTCTCCCTGCCTCCACCTCCCCCTGCCTCCACCTCTCCCTGCCTCTACCTCTGGGGAGAGGCACACAGGGAGGGGTCTGTTCCTCTGGGTTCCCTACCCACCCCATCCAAACCTGCTTCCCTCTGTTCCCCGACCCCCACCGCTGGGACTGCTATCCAACTTGGGAGGTGATGGGTTCGCCTCCTCCCATGCTGAAGTCCCCTGAGCTTCATGACCCACCCAGTGCTACTTGAGGGCCCCGAGCTCCTGCCTCAACTTCACCCCAGAGTGGTGATGACTAGGCTATGAGTGCGGGCCGGGGTGACTGCAGCCCAGGCCTGCCCACCACACACACAGTCCCAAAGGTGCCCACGCCTGCCGGACAGACCCCAACTCTACCAGTGCGGGCTGGGGTGACTGCAGTCAGGCCTGCCCACCACCGCCAAGTCCCAAAGGTGCCTTAGCGGACAGACCCCAACTCTACCACACTGTGTGGGCTGGGTGGCTCTGCAGCAGACTGCCCACCACACACACCCAGTCCCAAAGGTGCCACGCCAGCCGGACAGACCCCAACTCTGCCAGTCTGCGGGCTGGGGTGAAACAGTCAGGCCTGCCCACCACACGCCCAGTCCCAAAGGTGCCCATGCCAGCCAGACAGACCCCAACTCTACCAGTGCAGGCTGGGGTGACTGCAGTCAGGGCCTGCCCGCCACACACGCCCAGTCCCAAAGGTGCCCATGCCAGCCGGACGAGACCCCAGCTCTACCAGTGTGTGGACTGGGGTGACTCTGCAGCCAGGCCGCTGCCCACCACACACACCCAGTCCCAAAGGTGCCCACGCCAGCCGGACAGACCCCAACTCTACCAGTGCGGGCTGGGGTGACTGCAGTCAGGCCTGCCCACCACCGCCCAGTCCCAAGGTGCCCATGCCCAGCCAGACAGACCCCAACTCTACCAGTGCGGGCTGGGGTGACTCTGCAGCCCAGGCCTGCCCACCACACACACCCAGTCCCAAAGGTGCCCACGCCAGCCAGACCCAGACCCCAACTCTACCAGTGCCGGGCTGGGGTGACTGCAGTCAGGCCTGCCCACCCACCGCCCAGTCCCAAGGTGCCCATGCCAGCAGACAGACCCCAACTCTACCAGTGCGGGCTGGGGTGGCTCTGCAGCCAAGCCTGCCCACCACACACACCCAGTCCCAAAAGGTGCACGCCAGCCAGACAGACCCCAACTCTACCCGAGTGCGGGCTGGGGGTGACTGCAGTCAGGCCTGCCACCACCGCCCAGCCAGCCAGACAGACCCCAACTCTACCAGTGCGGGCTGGGGTGACTGCAGTCCAGGCCTGCCCACCACACACGCCCAGTCCCAAAGGTGTCTACGCCAGCCAGACAGACCCCAACTCTACCCAGACACCCAACAGCAGGGGTGCCCACGCACCGGCAGACAGTGTTGACCTCAGGGCATCTATGACCCTGGAAACCTCATGGTGTGGCCTCCACAGAGCCCCAAGCCCTGACCCCCTGCTGAGACTGGACAATGGAGCCTTGTTTCCCCCAGCCCCTCTACCCCTGGCTTCCCATTAGTCCTCAGAGGCTGGATCAGGGACTGTCCTCAGAGCAGGGTCCAGAACCGGCTTGATGTCCCGCTGACCAGCCCATCACCTCCCTTGCGCTGGGTGCCCTACCTCTTTTGATGTGCTCCGTGGTCAGCCTTGTGCCGGCAGCACCCTCGTCCCGCTCTGCAGCTGTTTCACATCTCTGCCCCATCTGCTGCAACCGGCCTGGGTCGGAGGTTAGGGCCCCGCCCTGCTCGTGGGTGGCCCTGCCTGCTGCATCCAGGCATGGCTGCGGCTCCACTTGCCCCGTGCCTGCTCTTTCTTCCCCCCTCCTCCTGCTCTGCGTGCTGTGCACATGGCTTTCTGTCCTCCTCCGTGTCACTGACCACAATGCTGCCGGGCCCATGCCACGAGTGAGGCGACCTGAGGGACCTTTCTGGGGCCCTCGTCTGCACCCGGCGATCAGTGTCCTCCGCCGCAGCTCACCCTCACGGGCATCTACATGCAGCCCAGCTCGGTGCCTGCTTCCCGCAGGAGGGGAACAAGGAGCCCTGACACCCACAGGTCCCACTGACAGCCCGGTTACGCCTCCCGCCTTTGCTGGATGGCCCTCGGGAGCGCTGCGGCTCCTGGGCCAGCTGGTACTGCCCTGGCAGAGCTCTCGCCATGCTCACGAGGCAGGTTTTTGGCACGTTCCGGGACACGCGACCAGTCCCTGGCATTGGCTTGAGGCTCTGCCATCCTCTTTCCTTGCCAGCTAGTCGTGCCCAGATGTACCTCACATCCCTGAAGGCTCTGCCCACAGATGCTGCCCAAAGTGCTTCCATCCTCCATGCAACCAGAGGCTTCATACATTACTCAGACGTAGTGCCCACCTGGGCGGGAGCCACAGCCGGCACCCACAGAGAACGGCCAAGCCAGCCTGGCATTCAACCACCTGTCTCACTCTCACGGCACTGGGATCTTCCTACCATAGCACCCAGCCACCAAGCCCTCTGCCTGACGCCGCCATGCCATGTCTGCCTGTGGAGCTCTGGGGTGCCCGGCCTGGCCACCAGCCCCTCCCCGAAGCTTTCATGGGTGACCAGCCCCTCCCAGACTCATCATCCCTGGGGTGCAGGGGAGACATTGCAGCGCAGAAAAGAGTCTGCCCCTGGGCTGGCCCTCCTTCCCCAGGAGACTTCCTGGTGTGTGTCCCCTGGTGCTGTGGACGCCCCCTGCCAACTCCCAGGACAGGGGTAAGCTTTGGAGGCTCCCTGAGCCTCAGCTTTCCTATCTGCGAAATGGGGTATGAAGGACCAGCTTCAGTGGGCCGTGGGAGACTCACATGGCCTTGGGATGTCCTGGTGGCTGAGGTCAAGTGGACCTGCCCTGGTCCTCTGCGCCTGAGGTCCAGACATCCCCGTTTAAAGAGGCACAGCGAGCACCAGGGCAGCCAGCACCTCCGTCCTCTCAACAGTTGCCAGGGCCGCAGTCCCAGCATCCCCGTTACAGTCGCACACACGGAGGCTCGGAGGTGCGCATCTCAGGCAGGGGTCCTAGGGAGCTGATGACGTGGCTGGGGCTCCAACCCCTCAACCCCCAAGAACTGGGTGTGGGGAAGACCAGGCAGGGACAGAGGCCGGAAGAGGTGCTGCCCCTGCATGTGAGTGGAGGGCAGGGTCCCGACCCAGGGGGTCCAAGTCCGGGCGCAGAAATTCATTCCTCAGTCCCAGGGAAAGCCAGCCCTCCCCCATGCCCCGTCCTCTGCTGGGCGCTCCATTTTCCTCGCCCGTCCTCTCCTTGGCAATCTCGCCAGCCCTCGCCTGGCCTCACCGCGTTCCTTCAGCATCCATTTCTCGATTCTTTGGTTTTCCTCCCACCTCCCGTCTTTGCAGCACCAGGGAGCTGCGTGAGACAGTGGCTCTGCAGCCTCCTGCCCCAGGCACCTGCTAGGTGGGGCCCATGTGGGAGAGACCCCTCCTTTCACGCCTGGGGTCGGCTGCACAGGGCAGTGCCCGGGACCCTCACGCAGCTTCCATTCGCAACTCAGCCCCTCCCTCTGCCCTTCCCCTCCTGCCGCCACCCTGCACCCGCTTCTGCTCCCCTCTCCCTCCTTCAAGGCAGCCCCTGCTCTTGCCCTCCCTTTCCACATTTTTCCCTCCCTTTCTCTCATTTCTTTCTCTCATGCCTTCGCTCTTTCTTTCTTCTCTTTGTTCACTTCTCCCCAGGTAGGGCTTGTTCTCTTGTTGAGAGACCCTCACAGCCCCAGGCACAGTGTTGCCCCCTCCCAGCATCCCTGGCCAGGCCTGGTGCCCAATCTCACCTCCACAAGCACCACCTTGGCTCTCACCAAGACCTGCCTAGTCCGTCACGGGCAGTAGCCAACCCTCACGGCCACGAGTCTCAGCCCACTTGGAGCCTGGGGCTGAGGTTAGAGACCCTCACCCTTCTCTCCGATGGTCCCCACCCCATCCAGGGGGCACCCAAGGGCTTCTCTCCTACAAGCTCCCACCTGCAGCGGCTCGTGTCTGCCCTCCAGAGACCTCTGTGGTCAACCCCAGGCTACCAACCTCTGCGGAGCGGCTCTGAGCCAGATGCTCAGTCCCCAGGGCCATGCTCCCTCCGGGCTCAGGGTGCCTCCCCTTTACGGCTCCAGCAGGGGCATCTGGGGGTCGAGTGCCCAGGGCACCCTGGCTGCCGCTTGCTGGCCGCTCTGCCCAGCTCTGGTTCGCCGGCTGGGACTGAAGCCTGAACCGCAGTCCTCTGGGCTCCGGCCCTGACACCCTGCCCAGGGGGCTGGGCCACTCGGTCCCTGCACCCCTGTTGCTGGCTTGGCTGGGCTTCTGGGCAGGACGGGCTCTGTCCGAAGACGGACTTCCAGCCCTGCCAGGGCGGGGGCTACCCCACCCTCAGGATCTCGGGCCTGGATGGGCCCAAGGCAGCCACGCCCTTTTGGACACTGTGGTTGGAGGCCTGGCTTCCCCCAGCCCCCTCAGGGCCAGCCCAGCAGGCTGCCAGCCCATTCCTGCCCCACTGGCCACATCAGGAGCCCCAGAGGTCCCTGGACCAGGCTACTCAGGGCGGGTCCCTGCCTGAGGGCCTTAGAGCCCTGGGGAGAGCCAAGCACGGGGTGGCTGCCACATCTGTGGGCAGATGTGTGCCGGAGATGAGGGACTGGAGGGGCTCACACCACCCAAAGAGCCGTGGCTGAGGTGGGCACAGGGCTCTGGGGACCTCAGTGGTTGATAAGAATGTCTGCCAGGCTGATCCCCAGCCCCGCTCTTCACTCCGGGCCAGGCTACAAGGCACTTGCAGCCGGCCTGGTGCCCTCTCCCAAGCCAGGACCCCACAGGTGGCAGGACCAGGCAGTGACTGAGTCTGGGTGACCTCTGGAGTTAAGTGGGCTGAGGTCCTCTTTAGGTCCCCTGACCATCCCTAACACTGGCCTTGCCTGAGCTGGCCCTGGGAGAGCTCCGAGTTGCCCAGGGGCAGGCAGGAGGCACAGGGCAGACTCTCAGGTGCCTGGAAGGGCAGACTTGGCAGGGAGGCATTGGGGGGAGGTCAGCCCAGGGCCCGACCCTGCCAGCCAGAAGCCGCATGCTGGCAGAGGCTGGGAACAGCCAGATCTGGAGAAAATGGTATTGTGCGGCTACATGCAGAGCCCCTGGGCTCACACCAGGTGTAGACAAGGAGAATCGCCGGGGCAGGGGTGGGAGACAACGGGGCAGGGGAGGATGGGGCAGGGGGGACACGTTTTCCCACTGGCCCAGAGCACCGTTTTTAATGAACGTAAACTGCATTGAATTTGCTCCCTGGCGGCTGCTGGCACCTAGCATGGCCCTTCAGGGCTCATCACTGAGGACACAGTACCCTGACTGCAGTGCCTCTCCCAGCCCTGCACCCGGCATGGCGGGACACCCAGGGGATCCCCGTTGGAGGGGTGGGGTGATGTGGATGGAGGAGGGACCCGGGGACCTGGGCTTACCATGCCCTGCTGAGTGGCCTTGGGCCAGTCTCTTCACCCACAGCTTCTGGGCCTGGCTCGCTCCTTTATCCAACAGGGAGTGGGCAGGGGGCAGCCTGCCAGGCCTGAAGGGCTGAGACTGGGGAAGTCTGAGCTGTTGGAGACTGCAGCGACGTGATCATGGCAGTGGTGGTGAGTGCAGCACTGTCCTGGGTGTAGTGTGTGTGTGTGCATGTGTGTGTGCATGTGTGTGTGCATGTGTGTGTATGCTTGCGAGTGTGCGTGTGGTGGGTGGGTGGGGTGCAGTGGTCTCTGGGTCTGTGTCCTGGAGGGGGTGTGTGTTAGTGCACACGTGTGAGCCTTGCTTCATGCAGCTCACCATGATTGTCCCTCATAGCTGGACAAGGGACTCTTGCTGCCCTCTGCCTGGCCCCTGTCAGGGCGAGTTCCCAGGGAGTTCAAAGGGACGGGTCCTTATGCCACCATCCCACTGCCTGACCACCTCTAATGAGGTCCCCTCCCCGCTGTGTCCTCCCCAGGTCCACAGGGACTGGCCCGGAGCCTGGGCCCATGCGGCGTCAGTGCACCCCGAGTGCTGCTTGCTCACCTGGGGCTGCAGTTTGTGCTGGGCCTGCTGGATGGGTGCTCATGGCCAAGCCCCTGGTGACAAGGGGGTGAGCCCCTGCACAGACAGGCAGGGACTCTGCTGCTCCCCCAGGGGCTGCGCTTCCTTCTCTTGGGCCCATTTGTTAAGTAGCACTGGTGAGTCTGGGGGGTTGACCCCAGGTACTCCTCAAATCCCAGGCCACAGAGCTCCTGGGGGACAGCAGTGTTCCCTGGGGAAACACAATCCCCTTTGGGCAGGGAGGGGAGGTCCAACCAGCAGAGCCTGGAAGCCCAAGAGGAGGAGGCTCATCGGGGGGCAGGGGTAGGGGGAGGCTGGGATGAGGTGTGCCCAGCCAGGGGCCCACTGCAGATCCTGGTGCTGGTCCTGAACTGGGATTGCAGCCGGAGACCCTGTAGGTAAGTACCTGATCAGAGCTATCTCTCTGCATCTGCGTGGACTCAATAAGTGGGAGCTGGGGAGGAGGTGAGTCGGGCTGCCCTCAGCTCCTCAGACCCTGCTGAGCCCACCCCCATGGGCATCCCTGGCTGTCTGCTCTCTCAGAGTCTCAGCATGGAGTGCCTGGCCTGGGTGGGCAGTGGCAGGCTGACCGATGCCAGCTCTGCCTCCCAGGAGCTCGAGGTCCGGCCAGCATGCTCTATGCCATCAAAGGGAGTCAGAGCAGGGCAGCCCTCCAGGTTAGGAAGAAGCAAGGCAGCCTTCAAGGAGGTGGTGGTGTTTCAACTTGGCTTAAAAACTTGAAAGGGTTGAGAAGGAGGAAGGGCACTACAGGTGGCTCAGAGTGGCTGAAGATACAGAGGGATATCTCTGACTGCCCAGGCTGGGTCCTGAGGAGCCCTGGGCCCTCCAAACTCTGCTTTCCTGCCTGACCCCATGAGGGGTCACACCACTACTTTACAGAGGAAGAAACAGGCGGGGAGAGGGCACCACATTGGCCCAATGCCTTCAGGTAGACAAGGCCCAGGTACCCTCCCTGGCCCTGAGGAGCCTCCCACTCAGGGTTGGTGTGATGTGGCCAAGGTGGGTGAGCTCAGCCCAAAGTCGTTTCATGATCTGTGAAGTGAGGGTGACAGGAGCATGCCCAGGGTCCGAAGGACCCCACGGGAGGCTCCAGAGGCCACTCAGAGGATGGGCCCTTCATCCTGGGGGCTCAGAGTTGAGCAGAAGCCCTGGGGCTCGGAGAGAGGTGCGAGCGAGCGACAGTGTAGCCGGCGGTGCAGGTGGGACAGGGGAGGAGGATGCACGGGCGGCTGCCAGGAGCCAGGAGGAGGAGAGGCCTCAAGCAGCCTCCACACTCACACATGGACACGCGGCCAGCCTGGCACCTTCTCCCTGCCCACTCTTGGGGCAGCGGAGCCCACTGAAGCCAGGGGAGGCCCAGTGGCCCCATGCCCGGGGGCCTGGGGTGGTGCATGTGGCAGCCCAGCACTGGCATCCTGCCCTGCCCTCCATGCCCAGCCGGGGCAGGAGGGACCTACCTCAAGAGGGTATCCAGGCCCTGTCTGCTAGAGTTCCTTCTCAGCTCAGGACTGCCCTTGCTGCAGCCTCTGCTCAGGCGACGACCTGGCCTGACCCCAGCCCCAGGGATACAGCAGCATCTTCGAAGGCTCCTGCCCTGCTGGTCCTCCTCTCTGCTGCCCTCCTCCCACACCCCTGCCCCCTATGCCTGGCTCTCCTTGGCTTTCCTGCCTCTCCCTGCCCCTCTCGCTCCTGCGCTTCCTTGGCGCTCTGCCCTGGCCCTCGGTCTCTCACTGGCTCTCACCCTCCCCTGTCCTTTCTCTCTGTCTGGTGGTCTGCTCGTCCCTGTGACCCTCTGCCTGTGTGTCTTGGCCCCTCTGGCCCCTGGCACAGGAGTCTGCGGGCCGGCTCCCTGTGGGCAGGCTGGTCCCTGTGTCCCCATCCCTGCGGGTCTCCCTGACTCTGGGTCTCCCGTTCCCCTCTCCTACTTCAGGACGCCCAGCAGCTGCTTCCCTTTTGTTTCCCCCAGCCCCCTTCTCCTCCCGCCTCCATCTCTTCCACCTCCACCTCCACCTCCTCCTCCTTCCGAGAAGAGTAAAAATGTCAGAGCGAAAACCCTCCCAGCCCAGCAGCGTGGGGGCTCAGCCAGATCTCTGTGGCCCGCTTATGGGCAGCGTGGCTGCCTCCTTCCCTCTCTCCCTCCCTTCCTCTTTCCTTTCTTCCCTCCGCCTCTCCCCTCGGGCCACCTTGGCAGCCGCTGCCCACCTCTCGGTCTCCCCTAGCCCTCCGTGGTGCCCCTGCCCAGGCACAGGGGCCTATTCTGCCCATCACCACCTCCCACCTCAGAGTGCCTTATGCCCTCTGCCAGGCCCTGCCCGGGCCCTCCTCTGTTCTTCCTCTTCGTCAGCCATTCTGGTCCAGCCCCCGCTCAACCTGCCACCTCCCTCACCATCACCGCAGGCCTGGACCCTTCGCTGGTTCCTCTTTGTCCTGTCCCCTCCTTCCCCGTCTCACACTCAGCCCCTCTCTCCTCTCTCCTTTCCCTCTGGTGTCTCTGTCCCTATCTCTGTCTCCCTCCCTCCTTCCCTCCCCCTCCCTTCCCCTCCCCTCCCTTCCTCTCCCCTCCTCCCCTCTCCCCCGCTCCTGGTTCTCCACTTTCCCTTTGTTCATTCCCGGCCTCTGCTCTCGTTGTCACCTCTGGAGAAGGCTTGGCACCCCAGGAACCCTCTCTGGTCCCCAAATGGGGAGGCTGCTGCCTTTCCTGGTGCCCCCCTAACCGACCAGACTGCAGAGATGCCCTGAGAAGCCGAGATGCCACCAACGTGGCATCTTCGGTTTGGTATTGGGACACCATGGTCCCAAGAGGTGGCCAGTGGGCACAAAGTCGCCCTGGTGCCCTCGCCAGCCGGGCCCCCCTTGCCCCCGTCCTCTGGCCCTGGCCCAGGGAGGAGCAGCCCAGCCCTCTGTTCCTCTGGTTGGGCTTGGCTACTGTGACTCACTGGAGAACATTCGGGGCTAGTGGCCGGGCGAGGGGAGGGACGGGTGGCCCGGAGAGGGGAGGGTCAGGACTCGTGTTCAGGGCTCACCAAGGGTCAGCTCCATGACGGCAGTCTCACATCCGGTGGCTTGCCCAGCTCGCTGACACTCAGAACCACCACTGTACCCATGTCCCGGATGGAGAAACCAAGGTCCAGCCAGCAGCACTGGCCTCCAAGGTCACAGAGCCAGGGCCTGGCACAGCCAGAACCAGAGCCGGGTCTGCCGGCCGCTGGCCACCAGGTTACTGTCCCGGGCCACCATCTGTGCATGCGCAGCCACCCGCCCATGCCACTCCCCGTCCCCACATCCACGGAGAGCAGCCCCCTCTTGTTTCCCCAAATATCGTGACTCTGGCTGCGCCAGGCAGTTGGGGCTGCGTAGCACCTTGGGAACACTAAGGGAAGCAAGGGTGAGGCTGTGAACAAATTCACTGCGAGCGAGTGAATCACCGCTGAGGGCAGCGCGCCCGGGGGTGGCGGCAACAGTTGGAAAATTCCACATGGGTCCATAGCTCGGGCTGTGGTGACTCAGGTGGTGGGCTAGCCCATGGAGACTGCGGGGGTCAGGAAGTCCGTCCCCACTCCCTACGCACGCACCAGGATGGGTCTCGGCCAGTCCTGGAGAGAGGAGCCCACAGCATCTCCCCTCTCCTGGCACAACCCCGGAGGAGCAGGGAATGGACACTAGAGACCACGGTGTTGACCCCACATACCCAGCGTCCACAGAGCTGCAGAGACCACAGGATTCTGGAGTAAGCAGGAGGGATGGTGGCCAGGGTTGGACCTCAGGTTGGACAAACATTTAGTGAGATCACCCAGGGGAGGGGAGGTCACCCAGGGGAAGCAAGATCACCCAGGGGAGGCCAGATTACCTTGGGGAGGTGAGATCACCCAGGGGAGGGGAGGTCACCCAGGGGAGGCAAGATCACCCAGGGGAGGCCAGATTACCTTGGGGAGGTGAGGTCACCTAGGGAAGGAGAGATCACCCAGGGGAGGTGAGATCACCCAGGGGAGGCAAGATTACCTAGGGGAGGAAAGGTCACCCTGGGAAGGCGAGGTTACCTAGGGGAGGTGAGGTCACCCAGGGGAGGTGAGATCACTCAGGGGAGGTGAGATCACCCAGGGAAAGTTAAATCACTCAGGGGAGGTGGGACTACCAGGGGTAGGTGAGATCACACAGAGAAAGTGAGATCACTCAGGGAGGCCAGATCACCCAGGTGAGGTGAGATTACCTGGGGTGGGGGCGCAGTGAGCTTGTGCTTCATTTGTACCTCAACCTGCCTGTTTCTTCCTTGCCTCCTGTTTTGACTTCTGGAGGGAGTCCCAGCCACAGAGAGCCAGGAATGAAATGTGCCCAAGACA